AATTCTTGGTAAAAAAGCTCTTTGTTACATATATTGCAAGTAATTTCCTCTTTTTGTGAAGCACTTTGAAATATTTATGTAATTACATTTTCAATCTTTCCCTTTGTGACTTTTGGGCCTGTTCCTACTTAGAAAAGCCCAAGGCTAAGACTACAAATTAATTCTCTGATGTTTTCTCTTTGTACTTTCATAGTCTCATTTTTTATTATTTAAATATTTATTGCTTTTGAATTTTTTTTGATGAATTAAAATAGGGATCCAGATTTATTTTTTTCCTGAAATTTTAATCAGTCTTTGTGTGTGTGTATGTGTGTGTGTGTGCGCAGTGCTGGAGACTGAACCCAGGGCCTCACACATGCTAAGCATGGGCTCTCCTTGTAAGCTATACCCCCAGTATCTCAGTCCTTATTTTTGAGTGAATTATCCATCTTGGTGTAAAATGCCAACTTCACCCAATACTAAATTAGCCAGTGTATCTTGGACTTTCTCTGCTGTTCCTTTGAGCTGCCCATTTCTTCTCTAGCTCTAAGATGTTTATAGTTAGACCCTTAATTACTATTTTTCAGTAGAGGACATTTATTCTTCTACATCAGGTTTTATCAACAGTGGTGCCACTGACAGTTTGGGCAGAATAATTACGGGGGACTATCCTATGCCTAAGATGTTTGGCAGCATCTCCACCCTCTTCCCACTAGATGTCAGTATCACCTCCCAGTCTTGACAACCCAAATCATCTTCAGACATGGCCAATTACTCACTGGGTCTTAGGAGGGAACCAAGTTCAGACCCTACTGAGATCCAGTTTCAGATATACTCCAGTATCATTTTATCCATGTTTCCACTCCCAAATTCCCACTCATATTTTAATTAGGATGAAAATGAATTCATAGAATGATTTAGACATCCTATTACACTTAACATGTTATACTATCAAAATTTAATATTTATTATAAATCTTCTTAACCAAAAACCACGGATAGTCTTCCACTTACTTATATCTTCTCTGAAGGGCATAGACTTGTTCTTTAAAAGAGTTTTTAAATGCTTTTTAATATATAGTTCCTTGTACTACTAAGTTTATTCCTAGGTATTTTACTTTTATCATTTCTTCATAAACAGGGTTGTTTATTATATTATTATCCTTTTAAACTAGTCATTGATAAGAAAGCTATTTATTTATCCATTTTGAGTCAGACCTCACTATGTTGGCCTTGAACTCCTGGGCCGAGCAATCCCCCTGCCTCAATCTCCAGAGCAGCTGGGCCTACACATGCCATATATTTTATATCACCAAAGAAGCCTCCATATGTTTATAGTCTACCAAGAGTCTGTTATCAATCAGAAAGATTGATAATTGTGACAAATATATCTTGTATATTTATTTTTCAGTATAGGATATTTATTCTTCTACATCAAGTTTTATCAACAGTGGTACCACTGACAGTTTGGGCAGAATAATTACTGGGGACTGTCCCAGGCGTAAGACGTTTGGCAGCACCTCTATCCTCTGCCCACTAGGTGTCAGTATCACCTCCCAGTCTTGACAACCTAAGGTAGTTTTTCTTTGGTCTATTATTTTTCTACAAAAGATCAGATTGAGATTTTCTATTATTCATTCACTCTTGGATGACATAAATCCACTTGATTGTGATATATACTACTATTTTTTAATTTCTTGTTGAATTCTATTTGCTAATATTTGAACTTATTTTTTTTTGCTTTTAAATAAGCTTTTTATTTTAGAATAACTTCATCGATAGAAAAATCATAAAGATAGTGCAGATTTTCCATATATTACACATACATTTTCCCCTATTAATATTTTATGTTAGTATGGTACAATCATCACAAATAATGGATCAATAATTATATACTACTTTCATTAAGGTTCATACTTTCAAATTTCCTTAATTTTTAAAAAAATTTTTAAAATATTTATTCTTAAGTTTTAGGTGGACACAATATCTTCATTTTACATTTATGTGGTGCTGAGGATCGAACCCAGTGCCTCGTGCATGCTAGGCGAGCACTCTACCACTGAGCCACAACACCAGCCCCTCCTTAGTTTTTTTTTTTTTTTGAGAGAGAGAATTTTTTTAGTATTTATTCTTTAGATTTCGGCGGACACAGCATCTTTGTTTGTATGTGGTGCTGAGGATCGAACCTGGGCCGCACGCATGCCAGGCGAGCGCGCTACCGCTTGAGCCACATCCCCAGCCCCCTCCTTAGTTTTTATCTAACATTATTTTTCTGTGTTAGGACCCAATCTACAAGCCATCTTACATTTAGTAATTTTGTATTTTTAGTCTCTTCTTGTCTGTAACAGTTTATCAGATTTATCTTACTTTGTATAGTCTTATGAGTCTGAAGAGTATTCAATAGTTATTTTGTAGAATGTTCCTCAATTAGGATTTTGTCTGATATTTACCTCCTGAGTAGTTTCAGTAGATTCATTGGTATTGCATATCTTATTCTGAATTATTGAATTAGGCAAAGTCGACCTACTTAGTCCCTCACTTGAGCCTGTCGAACAAGATGGTAAGAGACTAACTCCATCACAGAGGGCTTTATCTTCTAGGTAATTCTCACTTTGGTCACACAAAGAACAACCATGGGAAGGTTATAGAAAGAAAAATCAATTTTAAAATTGGAGAAAGCTGTTTAAACACTAACTGAGGTACATTATTAAGAGTGTACTTAAGAAAAAATGAACTTAAACATTAGAATTTGGATCAAAACTGAAAGATACACCCAAATACAAATACTACATATGGTGTAGTCAAAGAAAGAGAGTAAACAGATCTAACAGATATTTTAAACTATAAACCCCTAGGGTCTTTGTTTATATCAACCTTGGTGCCCTTCAACAAATGAATGGATAAAAAAATGTGATATAAATATATATATATATATATATATATATATATATATATATATATATATA